TCTTACATATGGTCCGTTTGATGATGCCAGGAGGTTTACTGCATATAATGTCAATGGGTTCAAGTTTCATACAGTAGCACGTGATCAAGGTTTTCTCACACAAAACTCTGGAGTTTTTGGAACATTTGGGACAAGGAGTTATGCTAGGACCAATGATAGTGACATGCGATTTGGAGCACTACAAAAAAAACATGGTTTTAGCGACGGAATTTAGCAACGAAATTTTGAATTTAGTGACGGATTAGCGACGGAATTAGTGACAGAATTTTTTCCGTCTCTAATTCCTCTGTCACTAATTGATTAGCAACGGAAATTCAATTCTGTCGCTAATTAGCGACAGATTAGTGACGCATTTTCCGTCGCTAATTACCGACGGAATTTTTCCGTCGCTAATTCAATTTTTTAAAAAATAAAATAAAATGCCACGTGGCACCTCTACCAATTGCCACGTCATCACTGAGACCACCTCCACGTGTCGCTACCACCTCATATCTACTGCCACGTGTGCGCCACACGTGTACCTGCCACCTCACCTCTGCCTGCCACGTGTGCGCCACATGTCACCACCACATAATTCCCTTCTCAAATTGACTTCTCCATGGCTTGAACCCAGGACCTCCTTCGTGCGCACGTGCGGCTTTACCAGTTGAGCTGCAATGAACCTGTTGACTTATTATGTAAAATTAAATATATATTATATTATTTTACACAAACAATTATATATACATATATATTATTAAAAACTAAAAATATACTATTTGATCATTTTAATCATAACTATTTTAATGAAAAAATATTTTTTAAATATTTTTTACTATTTTTATAATTTTTTATTTTTTGAAAAATCTTTTTAATATAATTTTAATTTCTAACGACACTAATTTTGAATTTTACATCATAAATAATTTTTCATAAATATTTTTTAAATTTATTTTTTAATTAACATTGATAAGATATACAATTTAATTATATATATATATTACATTATATTATATATGTATATGTGGTTTATATATTTGAAGGAAATCATTTACAATTAGTCAAGAAATCTTGTTATTCAAAAAATTCAAAAAATAACTACTATAATAAAATCTAATAAATTATTTTATATAAAAAATTAAATGATTTAAATAGATTATAATAAACAGTATTTTCCTACTTGTATATATATCCTATGTAATTTATTTTCTTAAAATTTGTGACGAAATTTGCGACGGAAACAAATTCCGTCGCTAATTTTTGACGGAATTGCGATGGAATTTCCGTCGCTAATTTTTTTGACGGATTAGCGATGGAATTAGCGACGGAATTGTTTGATAGAAAAATATTCCGTTGCTAATTCCGTCGCTAAATACGGATCAACGACGGACAGAAATTCCATCACTAATCCGTCAAAAAAATTAGCGACGGAATTTCCGTCACAAATTCTGTCGCTAATTTGCGACGGAACAAATTCCGTCACAATTCCGTCGCTAATTTGCGACAGAATTTGTTTCCGTCACTAATTCCGTCACTAATTCGTTGTTTTTTTGTAGTGGCATTCCTTACTATGGAAAGCTGATTGATGTTGTTGAGTTAAATTATCAAGGACTTTTCACTGTCACTCTACTCAAGTATCGCTGGGCAAATATGACAACTTCACGTGGACTCACTACTGACGAATTGGACAGCACATCTGTTAATTTCTCTAGGCTCATTCATATGGGAGAATATGAAGATCATGAGCCATATATTCTTACCTCTAAGGCACACCAGGTTTATTATGTTGAGGACAAGAAACATAAAGATTGGAGTATGGTGGTTCATCTCAAGCTGGAGATCTTTATGACATAGGTGATGATGGTGATGATATTGTTTATGACATTGAACCCTTCAAATAAAAATTTCATCTTTGAAAGAGATGACAATTTACCAATTGTTCAGTATTTCCTTTTTACATATAATTTTGGTTCATTTTTGTTACATTAATAAACAATATATGTTTTAATTTAAATTTATGTGTTTTATAATTATTTCTTATTATTTGACTTTATATATCTCCTTTCAGGCAAGGTGATGAAGACTAAATTTTTAATAGTTCATTCCAAACCATTTTTTCAAAATTAGTAGGTTTTTTTGGGCAAAATTTTGATATTTGTAGCCGTTTTATAACCGCTACAAGATGCAAATAAACCGCCACAAATGAATAAAACCGCTACAAAATGAATTAAACAGCTACAAAATGTCACCGGCCCTTTGTAAATACCCCACTCTCCCTCTTATTTTTCACACATCCTCCAACTCTCCTCTCCTCTAATTTCCCTCATCTAAAAACCTCTCCTCTCCTCTGATATTTCTCCTCCTATTTTCAAATCATAATTTTTTAATTGTTTATTTACTTTTATTTTTGCATATTATTTTAATTTACTAATAAATTTTTCCTGTTTTTAATGCAGGATTTATTTATTTTTATTTTCTTCTCTTTCTAATTTATTTCTTATATTCATAAATAACATTTCAAAATTTTTTTAATTTTTATAATTATAAAACTATAGATCTTCTAATAATATTTATTTAATACTTAAAATATTAGTAAAATTTCCTTATAACAAAAATTTGAATAAAATTTAATTAAAAATTTGATAAGACATTTAATTTCAAAATTATATTTGCAAATCATATTTAATTTATTATATTTTATCTTCAAAATTTGATTAATTTCTTTTTTTAAATTTCAACGTAACATTTGTGGCAGTTATAAAACTGCGACAAAAAGTAAAATTAAATAATATTTTCACATTTGCAGCGGTTTATAACAGCGGCAAAATCGTCTTGGTGGTGCCATTTTTTTGAAAATGTTACCATTTGCGGCGGTTATATAACCGCTACAAATTTTGTTGCCAAATTCAATTTTTTATTCCAGCCAGACAAAATTTTTTGCCGACACTTAGTAGCGGTTTTGTTAATCACTGCAAAATTTCAAATTTCATTTCCTGCCTGTCATATGTATGTGTAGCAGTTTTTTGACCACTACAAATTGCCTCAAAGTAATCTCATTCATGACGTTATTAGTAGTGGTTTTATAATCGCTACAAATTACTGTAGCGGTTTAGTATCATGCACCACGGTTCGTCTGAACTGCTACAAATCCCTTTACATCGGTGGTTTTTGTAGCGGTGGCCCTTCCAAATAAATACAATTTTTAAGATCTTTTTCCATAAATATTGTTGCCACTAGGCCTCTCTTCCTAAGTTTCCCTTTTTCCCCCTTACTACGTGTAAGTATCCTCTTATTTAAGACCATTCAATTTGATTCGCTGTCAAAAACTAAATGTGGGTACCTTTCATAGTAGGAATTCAAACTTTGATTCATCATGTTGTAAGGAACTAGCCTTTTTATTTGGACTCCACCCCAGTTAGTTAACAAAATGCTTTGATGCAACATATACAAGTTATGTTATTAAAGCTACATTAGATTAGGTTACTTGTCTTCCACACACCTATGCAGAGTCCGATTACAGTGATGAAGTCAAAAGTCAAAAACACAACAAATGCACACCAAGGGAGAGAAGAGAGTAGAGACGCAGAACCAATGGCAAAGAGGAGGAGGAGGAGGAAGAAGAAGAAGAAAGAAAATGAAAGCTTGGATGATACCTCTATTATTGAAGCTTGAGTTATCTGACATGACATGAATAAACGTTTATAAGCCGATGATGATGAAGGGGTCAATGCATATAATTAATTCTACCTTTAACAGATTAATTATGTAAATAATAGCTTAGTTAGAATTTAGTTGGTGTATAGCTATAAAGTAGTTAACATCATCACGTGGCTGATTATATATAAACACTTGTACTACTCATTTTGTGAATAAGACAAATCTTTCACTCCCTCTCTCTTTCTTTCTTTTTCTGCATTATGGTATCAGAGCACACATGCTCTCTATGCTCTTGATTTCGTTTCTCTCTTTCTTCTCTATCTCTTTGATCTATGGCTCTGAATAGTTCTTCTTCTTCCTTCTTGGATCAGTCTCAAGATTCAATGAGTTGCTTTTATTTGCATCCCAATGAAAATCCATTCCTCATTCTTCTTTTTTCTCCTCTCATGGGTTCGAATTATCATCACTAGGCACGAGCAATGACTATGGCTCTTATGAGCAAGAACAAATTTTAGTTTTTCAATGGTTCTTTAAAGATTCCTGAGAAAAATGATTCTCTCTTTCTGACATGGTAATGATACAATACCATGGTTCTGACCTGGATCAATCATACATTTTCTTCTTTAATTGCACAAAGCATGTTCTGGATTAATAAAGCTGTTACTGTTTAGAATGATCTAAAAGAGCATTTTATTCATGGTAATATTTTTAGAGTTGCTGAGCTTCAGGAGGAGCTCTATCAGTTTCGTCAAGGTGATCTTTCTATTTCTGATTATTTTACTAAGATGAAGATCATTTGGGATAAGTTGTTGAATTTTCACCCTTTACCTGATTGTTTGTGTTCTGCTAAGTCTTATATTTAGCAAGAACATGTAATCTGATTCCTCAAAGGTCTTAATGACCGATTCCCCAATTTTTAATCTCAAATCATGTTAATGGATCCGATTCCTTCAATCAACAAAGTTTTCTCTCGTATTATCCAACAAGAACAAGAATTGAATGGATCTGTTGAATCCACTATATGCTTTACTCGCAACCACCAAATCTGTCTTCTACTCAATCTAATGGATCAGGCAATAACAACAACAAAGTATGCACATACTATGGAAAACCATGACACACCATGAAAACTTGATATAAGAAGCATGGATATCTACCTAGTTTTGAATTTCAGAATAATGGAGCTTCTATTCATAATATGGTGATGTCTAACTCTTCATCCGCTCAGGTTTTGCCTTGTGCACCCCTCTCTTCCAACACTACTAGTCCTATAATTAAAGATCAATACCAAAAATTATTAACTCTGTTACAACCTCCTACTGCATCTCAATTTTTTGTATCTCCTCTTACCCCTGTTTCTGTACCTAATTCTACTCATCATGCTAATCAAATGTCTTCTCTTACTCTTATGCCTAATCTTGATAAGCTAGGCAATCATATTGTTCTTTCTCTTCACTCTACACACGATTTATCTTAGATAATTGATAGTAGAGCTACAGCTCATGTATATTTTTCTTTATCCTTATTCACATCTTATTCTGAAATCTCACCTATTCGCATTACTCTTCCTACTCACTCTGCTTTCATCACCACTATTTCTGGTACTGTTCAAATAACTCCTTCTACATGCTTAAATAATGTTCTGTACATACCTGAATTTCATTTCAACATTATATCCCTCACTTAGATGACTATACAACTTCATTGTTATATTATATTTTTCTCTTCTTGTTGCCTGATTCAGGATCTAAGGACATGGAAAATGATAGGTACTGCTAATGTTTCATAAGGTTTATACATGTTGCAAAGTCACAATTCTTCAGCTGCTTGTGTGAATTTAATTTCAACTTCTTCTACTCTTGATATAGCTTCTCAATTCCATTTGTGGCATTATCATCTTAGTCATCTTTCTTCTTCTGTTTTAGACACTTTAAATTCTCAATTTCTTTTGATTCCTTGTATACCACATAATAAAAGTTGTGATGTATGCTATTTTGCAAAGCAAAGAAAATTACCTTTTCCTGCTAGTGTCACTCAGATTGCTCAATTTTTGGAACTTAGCTTGTACATGCTGATATATGGGGTCCTTATCATATTGAATCTATTCACAACCATAAATATTTCTTAACTGTTGTTGATAACTATAGACGTCATACTTGGGTTTGTCTTCTTATAGCTAAATCTAGAGCTTGTTCATCACTTCAAAATCTCCTTGTTTTTCTAGAAAATCAATTCAATCACATTGTTAAAATTGTTTGAACAAATAATGGTCCTAAATTTCAAATGACTTCATTTTATTCTTCTAAAGGCATTTTGCATCAAACCTCTTGTGTTGAGACTCTAGAATAAAATAGTGTGGTTGAAAGAAAACATCAACATATTCTCAATATTGCTTGTGCATTAATGTTTCAATCTCATTTGCCTATGATTTATTGGTCCCATGCCATTTTACATGTTGTTTACTTACTCAACCAATTACCTTCTCCTGTTTTGAAGAATAAATCTCCTTTTTAATTACTCTACCATAAATTCCCTAATTATACGATGCTTAAAGTTTTTGGATCCCTTTATTATGCATGCATATCTTCTCAACAATGTACTAAGTTTGACACTAGAGCCTGCAAATGTGTTTTTCTTGGTTTTAAACTAGGGACAAAAGGCTACATCCTTCTTGACTTACACACTAATCAGATTTTCATTTCACAGCATGTCATTTTCTATGAATCCATTTTTCCATTTGCCATAGTTTTTATGCCTGTTTCTTTTTCTACTTCAACTGTTCCTAATGCCTCAGTCTTTTACTCCTATTGATGATCCTGTTCCCTCAACTATTCCTTCTCTACCTACTACAACTGTTCCTTCTAAACTTTGTTACTTCTTCATCTTCCCCTTCTATTACTGACCATGTTTCTTCTTCATCCCCCTTTCTATCACCTTCGACTCAACATTCCTCTTTGTCTCCTTCTTTACCAACTCCTGCTCCTTCTCACCGTTCTAACAGAACCATCAAGCAGCCTTCATACTTAAGTGACTATCAATGCTTTCTATTAAAATAGATCAATTGGCTTCCATATCTACGACCTGCAAATATCCTTTACAAAGTGTTCTATCCTATGATAATATATCTTCTTCATATAAACATTTTGTTTGTTCCATAACTGTTCCTCATGAACCAAGATCTTACAATGAAGCCATTAAATATCTCGAGTGGCAGTAGGCCATACAAGCTAAAATTTTAGCTTTAGAGCAAAACCATACTTAGATATTGATTGAGTTACCTTGGGATAAATTTCTCATTAGCTGTAAGTGGGTGTTCAGGACAAAATTTCATGCCAATAGAAGTCTTGAGCATTACAAGGCTCACCTTGTTGCAAAAGGGTATACTCAAACAGAGTGAGTTGACTACTTCAATAATTTTTTCCCCAGTTGCCAAAATGACTACTATACGTCTCTTACTTGTCATTTCTACAACATCTCATTGGCATTTAGAACAACTAGATGTGAACAATGCCTTCCTACATGGGGATCTGACTGAGGATATTTATATGACTTTTCCTCATGGGTTTTCCTCTCCTAATCCTAAACTAGTGTGCAAACTACAAAAATCACTTTATGGTTTAAAATAGGCCTTTTGATAGTGGTTTGCCAAGTTATCTATAGCCCTTACTTCATGTGGCTATAGCTAATCTAAATATGATTATTCTTTAGTTGATTGTAGCCACAACACCTCCTTCACTGCATTATTGGTTTATGTTGATGATATAATACTTGCAGGCAATGATCTTGGTGAAATTAAGCATATCAAGACATTTCTTGATGAATCTTTTAAGATCAAGGATCTAGGCAAACTCAAATTCTTCCTTGGTCTTGAAGTTGCTCATTCCTCTACTAGTATAGCATTAAACTAGCGCAAATTTGCTCTTGATATTCTCTCTGATGCTGGTTACCTTGCCTGCAAACCTGTGTCAACTCTAATGGACAGATCCACATGATTATCAAAAGATCATGGGACTCTACTTAATGACATAGCCAACTATTGAAGATTGATTGGCCGCCTCCTTTATCTTACGATAACTTAACCAGATATTTCCTCTGCTGTTCAATAGCTTTGTCAATTTACTCAGGCCCTAACTACAACTCATTGTCAAGCTGCACTTTGGGTTCTAAGATATCTTAAACAAAACCTAGGGAAAGGACTTTTCTTTCCTTCTTCATCCACTTTCAAACTCAAGGGTTTTAGTGATTCCGATTGGGCAGGGTGTCCTGACACTCGCACATCTGTAATTGGCTTTTGTTTTTTCCTTGTCAAGCTCTTATCTCATGGAGATCAAAGAAACAAAATACTGTGTCCCCCTCTTCATCTAAAGCTTAATATCAGGCACTAGGATCTCTTACTTGTGAAGTCCAATGGTTACTATATCTTCTTGTAGGTCTACATATCAATCATCCATCTCCTGTTGTGCTTTATTGTGATAACCAGTCTGCATGACATATAGTAGCAAATCCTACCTTCCATGAACACACCAAGCATATAGAGTTAGATTGTCCTATTGTGCATGAGAAAATTCAAGCTAGTGTCATTCATTTACTACCTATATGAACTTCCCAGCAATTGGCTGATGTTTTCACCAAGCCTCTTGATCCACAGCCTTTGTCTACTTTAATGTCTAAATTTGGCATGATTAGTATATACTCACCAGCTTCCCCGGGGGAAGGGGGTAACAGATTAATTATGTAAATAATAGCTTAGTTAGAATTCAGTTAGTGTACAGCTGTAAAGTAGCTAACATCATCATGTGGCTCACTATATATAAACACTTGTACTACTCATTTTGTGAGTAAGAAAATTTTTCACTCCCTCTCTTTCTCTTTCATTATTCTTTTTCTGCATTAGCCTTCGACGTGTTACTGAAGGTAAGTAGACAATCCATACGTTGTAGAAAATGAGCTCAATCTTTGAATTGTTTTTGGCAAATTGGTTATAAGCATGGAAATATTAACACCCCAAAGTTTGACTGACTTGCGTCAACTTTTCCATCATCTTCATCAATCAACCTCACCTTTGACGTCCACATTCGGTGCAGCCGTTATTGACCCCTTTAAATCTAATTTATTTTCCAATCAATAAGTATATTTTTAAAATTGATATCCAATAAAGATTATATTTATTTTTTATTTTTTATTTATCAAAATTAAAAAACTAAAATGTAAGAATAAAATAAAAGTTCAATTCGGGCTTGATGAGAATTCATAATTTCTGCAATAGAAGTTGATCTCCCTTGAAATATTATTGAAGACAATCAAATAGAAGATCACTTCTAATTACTCTCCTATTCTAATTATAAGTCTCAGTTTTCTGAACACACATATTAAACAAAAACTATGTATATAAAGGTAATGTGTAAAAAAAAATTGTTTTTATCCCTTTCATTTCTTTTTTTATATATAACTTAAAGTATTGTTAAGTCACTTTAGCTTTTGAGATTAATTTCTATCTGGTCCGGACCATTAAAGTTGAAATTCTCTTAATAAGTCTGCTTCCCGAAAATTATCCTTTTCTGTCCTCTATTAAATACCACTATTTTTTATGCCTCGTTTGCCTTCAAATTAATTTAATGCCATTACTTTTAATGGATATTTTAGGGAAAATGCTTTAATTAACTTAGACATTTATGCTGAAACATATATTTAAAAAAAACTAATACTTTTATTTAGGGACAGAAGGAGTAATGAAATTTCTTTTATAATACTTTTTTCAATTATTGATAAGAACTCTTACTATTTGTTTTGGTCCTCGGTGAAAATTGGGAAATCGAAAATCCCAAATTAAATATATTTTAATTATTCATTTTGGTTTTGCTCACCCCTATTATTCTAGCGGAAACTGCCATTGATGTTCTGGTTGCATTAGTCATTTAGTTGGACCATTCAAATTTTAAAGCGAATAATCGATAACCACTCATTTTTATTTTTGTCTTTTGATATGAATATAGAAAGGATTTGTCGGCAAAAAAAAAAAAGATTACAGAAAGGATTTAGCTCCTTCCGCACGTTAAGGAAAATGCTTCCGCACTTTCCATGGAAGTACAGAGTAATAGAAACTCCACAAACTATGAAAGTCTTCGTCTCATCTCATCAAACACCAAATAAGAACAAACCCTTCTTCAACCTCGCCATGTTTACTCACAGATACTTCTTACTCTTCTTCTTCTTTATCGCTAGCTTCCTCTGTTCTCCTACCATTGAAGCAGTACGACCTACTTATCTTTACCACAACTGCTCCACCGCCGGAAAAAGCTTCTCTGCTAATAGTACCTTCCAATCCCACCGGACCACCCTCCTCTCCTCCTTAGCTTCAGCCAATGCCGCCTTCTACAACAGCAGCGTTCCTGGAGGCAGTGAAGCCATCTACGGCCTCTTCATGTGCCGGGCCGACGTCTCCCTCCAGGTCTGCCGCGAATGCGTCGCTAACGCAACCCAACTGCTACCTTCTGAGTGCCGGTTTTCGAAGGAGGCCGTAATCTGGTACGACGAGTGCATGCTTCGCTATTCCAACACCTCTTTCTTCTCCACCATTGATAAATGGCCAACCGTCGTCATATTGAACCCGAACAATATCTCCAACTCGTACCAGGCAAGATTCAAGAGTTTCTTGCTGGATTTTATGAATGACACGGCAAGTATGGTGGCGGTGGCGAAATCTGTGTCGGAGGAAAAGGCGTATGCGAAGAACCAAGCTAATTTTCAGTCTCAAACTGTGTACAGTCTAGCTCAGTGCACGCCGGATCTACGGCTTGAAGATTGCAGAAGTTGTTTGAGTGGTGTGATTCGGAGCATTCCGTTGTGTAGTGAGGGGAAGATCGGAGGAAGAGCTGTGAATCCCAGCTGCAACATTCGCTATGAAATGTCGTCGGCACTGGCCCGGGCTCATCCTCGACCTCCAGGTAAAGAACTAAACATAAATGCTTCTTCTGTTTTCTTTTTTATTTTTAAACATATTAGAGTAGACTATATATAAGAAAAAATGTACACATCTGTTTGGAAAAATGTAAGTTTTATGTCTAAATTTTTCTTACCTGCATGATCAAGTATTAATTTATTAACCCAAAATAACTGAAACTCTATAATTTCTTGGCTTGGTTGGTACCTATAATTGCTTAACTCAATAAAATTTAAGAATTGAGCTTTTTCGTCAAAGTTCAGGAATTATTAGGACTAAATTTTTTTTGTGTTATTATAATTTTTATATCTCTACGTTCCTATATATAGTATGCAAATTGAATGTTAGGAAATGAGGTTGATTTCAGGGACATAGTGGCTAGTTGATGAAACTAATGTCGGTGCTCATTAGAGTAATTAATGATGTTGATCACTGTGATAAGATTTGTATTGTCTCAGCATAGTTTCAATAGTTCAAATTTAAAATTTTTATGTGAAGTTTTTAAATAAAATTTTTTTTTGAAAAAATGATAGTTAAAAAGTTATTTTTCTTTTATATTATATACGCATTAAAATATTAATTGTTAAAGTATAAAAATAAAATTATATTAAATTTGGATGGTCTAATTTTGATATCAACCATCCAGATCTGATTTTCATCATCACCCAAATAATGAGCATCCAAGCTGAATCCATTAACCTAATGATTGAGGGGATTTTGTAAGGAACGAGGAAAAATAAGGAATGAGACATTAAATGTAAGGCTTACACTAAAAAAAAAAAAAAGATGTCGTAGTAGCAATTATGTTAATGGTTATGACTTGTAACCACTACGAAGAAGGTCGGTAGCCGTTTGAAAAGTCACCACCGAGATGGGTGTGATCACTAATTTAGAGTAACGGTTTTATAAACATTTATTACTAACTAATTTCATAATTTCATATTATAACTACATATTAATATTTAATTACTGCTTCAAATATCATTTCAACTAAATGAATTATCATTCACATTACAAGTTGATTCCTTATTAATTACATAATAAATATTAAAATTAATTACAAATTCATAACAAGATAGAAATTAATTTAACTAAAAACAAAATAATTATGAGGTTGTTAATCATCATTATCATGGTAAACATTATTACCAGACTTAAGAGCAACTAAACACCGCTCCTTGTGGTAATGAAATCTTGATTACCACTGCACGTCTGTAATAGGATTGAACCAAATGGATCCTAACGTTTAATTTCTTCCCTTTTTTCAATTTTTTTCATTTCGAGTCTGATGGAAACACAAAGTGAGGTGATGCCATTTTCTTTCTTATTAAAAACTTCTGAAACTCTTTCCCCTGGCTCCTTGACAATCAATCAGCAAGGACAATTGTGATAATTGTGGCTTCTCTTTTTGTTGGCGGGTCAATTTTTTATTCGGCTTACTATCTCTTAAAGATTCGAATGAAGAAGAGTCATAGGGCTATTCTCAGACAAAAGTACTGTAAGTAATTTTCATTCTATCCATTTACTTGTACAGTTTGGCTAGTTGGAAAATTTGGTATAGTTTATTTATTTATTTGGTTTATTTGTCTAGTTGGAAGGGAAAGCACAACTTTAGAGCATCTGCAATTTAATCTAGCTACAATTGAGGCTGCGACAAATAAGTTTTCTCGGGAAAATAGTTTAGGCAGAGGTGGATTTGGACAAGTTTTCAAGGTAACAAATTGCCATATCGATGTGGAAAAAAATTTTATGTGTTTTTGTTTATATTTGTTTTTCCTTTTTTTAATCCAACTAACTATTATTCTAGGGTGTTCTTTCAAATGGTCAAGAAATAGCTGTGAAGAGACTTTCAAAACGTTCTGGTCAAGGTGCCGAGGAGTTTAAGAACGAGGTCTTATTAATAGCTAGACTCCAGCACAGATATTTGGTGGCGTTATTAGGATTTTGTATTGAGGAGCAAGAGAAAATACTTGTTTATGAATATGTTCCCAACAGAAGCCTTGATTATTTTTTATTTGGTATGAATCTTATAAACTCATTTTAAACTTTTAGTTGGTATTTATAGTTCATTTATGTCATGCATTTTATTATTTATTTGGTGCCTTTGTTTTTTTTTTTCTGCCAACTATTTGGTGCCTTTGTTATCTTTTAAAGTTTCTTATTATTTTCGTTCAATTTGTCACTTTACCTTCATCAAATTTATGTAGGTTCCCAAAACAGCAGGGTATTAGATTGGATGGAGCGTAGTAAAATCATAGGAGGAGTTGCTCGAGGAATTCTTTATCTTCATGAATATTCTCGCTTGAAAATCATACATCGAGATCTCAAACCTAGCAATATTTTGTTGGATGATGAAATGAATCCAAAAATTTCAGATTTTGGCCTAGCTAGGATAGTTGCTATTAGTGAAAATGAAGGAAGTACAAATCGAATTGTTGGAACATAGTAAGTTCTACCTTTGTTCTTTTAACCTTGACGTATGCACATGCATACGTATATGCATATGACTATATCTTGATATCGCTGAACAAAGAAAAATAATTTGTGACTTGATTTGAAATACAAAAGTTTCCCTTTCAGCTAATCATTTCTAATGCTCAAATCTTATCATCCTTTGGATTAAATTTCATTGACATTGTCCTTTTTACAGTGGTTACATGTCTCCAGAGTATGCAATGTTCGGACAATATTCTGAAAAATCAGATGTTTTTAGTTTTGGAGTTATAGTTTTAGAAATTATTAGTGGAAAGAAGAACACCGGTTGTCATGATTCACAATACGCCGATGGCCTCTTAAGCTATGTAAGTTATGATAATGTATTTCTCTCTCTTCTATTCTTGTGCCTTGAGAAGAATAAATGATGTTATGATTCGCAATACGTTGATCACCCCAAAGACATGCTATCTAAGGCTTTCAAAACAATTCTTACAGATCAAAATTGCCCTTATAAACAATCATCTTAACATTTAAATTGGAGATAGAATGATTAATTTGACAATATTGTATGATGAGCTAATAAAGGTGTATTATTCACTGAAGCAATATGTTTTTCTTCATTGTTGCAGACTTGGAAGCAATGGAGGGACGACAAGTTGCTAGAGATACTGGATTCAGATATAAATGAATTGGGATCATACAATGAAGTGATCAAGTGCATTCAAATTGGTTTATTATGTGTTCAAGAAAATCCAAATACAAGGCCTTCCATGGCTACAGTTGTTTCATATCTTAGCAATGATTCTATTCAATTGCCATCACCACAGGAACCTGCTTTCTTTTTGCATGGCCAACCAGAGCCTATTATCACCAGTGCAAGTGGAGAATCATGCTCTATTAATGAAGCTTCTATAAGTGAATTCACCCCTCGCTAAAGCAGTTCTTGTACAATCAGGCTTTTGGTCGGTATTTACAAGAAATGAAGAGATAATTTTCAATGGTTCCCATCAATACACAATATTTATACATTATGTTCCTAAGGGATACTGATTCTTCCCTCAATTAGGGGATGTAATTGAGTCTGTTTTGCTTGGGTAATGGAAATGAGATTTCATTCATATAGAATATCCAAGATCAGTTGGCAATATTTGTCTCAAGTTATATTATATTTTGACTATTTTGTAAGAACTTTGCGGTTAATTATGGTTCAATGCTATTGTGAAAACCTCCCTTTTGTTATCATCTTGAACTACTTCAGCTCGTTATGCATAATATCTCATGAATCTGTTAATTTTTCCATTATCACTAAAACTCTTTCAATTTCCCTCTCCCTATACACTGGAACTCTAATACATAAAAGTACATGTAACATCACCTCCCATCCTAAATATAAGATTTAATTGGATATTAAATTTAATTATAAATATAATACCTCAATCTCCTTTTTCGCCAATATTTTTTTAAAAAATATCTCTATTGATTGTAATGAGTGTCTACCAATGTGTAGTTTCAATATACATACATTAAATAGGATAATTTAGGAAAAGTCAACACACATTCATTACAAATAATCAACTTAACTAATTTCTTTAATCTTTCTAAATTAGTCATCTAGATCTTATATCAAGGATTGGAGGTAGTATAATTGCAAGACAATATTGTTTTAAAGCCGTAAATAATGTGGTTGGCAACCATTCTTATGTTAGATGCATGACCATTCAACAATTGAGGCAGAATGAATAAATGACCTATATTTTCATTGTTGAGAAATAATTTTTTAAAAAAAGTGAAACGCGATTAAAGCTCTCCTTACCAAATATGAAAGTGGAGCCGCATGAATTTTCTTAGTTCATAGCATAGGCTTCATCAGCTTTCAACTTTCTCGTTCTGGTTTGCTTGTTGTGCTATCATATTCATCCTACAAAACCAACAACTTAACATATGTTTCGTTATCATCGAACCTGAGGGTACTCATCAAACTATATCGCTCTTTGTTCTATAATATATATACACACTTTCGTACATATTGATTGCCAATTGTACTATATTATACTTATATATATTATGTATACTATATTATATGCATATATATTGGTTTTACATCATTTGTTACAGTTAGGGTATAGAAAATGTGACTAGTAAAATTTTCATAAATAAAATGCAAGACTGTTGAAATTTTATACTTGATCCACTAGCAGCCAGTGTAAGAAACTATTTTTACATTGGTTGAAATAACAACTGATATAGAAAATGAACTTTTTACAGCGGACGTGCGTATTCACCGGCGTAGAAAGCTCCACTTTCAATACTGGTCGCACATGACCACCAATGTAGAAAGTGAGGGGAATTTTTTTTTTTTGGGTTGTTTTCCTTAATCTTGTTTAAATCAGTCAAATACCACCATTTTTACATTGGCTCTAGAAGTAGGAATTGAACACCAGCGTTATCTACGTCTATTACAAATTCGGTGCAGAAATTTTCCTTAATTACTATAAAAAGGGGAACTAGTTTCAATGCTCACTGTAATGATGAGTACCATAATACTCATTAAATCACAACCATTCAAATTTAATATGAATGGCTGGGATTAAATATTTAATATTTTTGTTCTTCAACAAATATTTTTTTAATAGGTACATAATTCAAATTAAATGTAATCTCTCAACTGTAAGTTTTTAAAAACTAAATTTTTTATTTGAAAATTACTAGTAAAAAATTCAAAATCATATTTTACTACAATGATGAGTATTATGGCACTCATCATTGTGATGAACACTGAAACTAGTTCCTATAAAAAAACACCTTTTTACATTAGAGAGAGAGAGATATATATATATTTGAGTCAACGTTGATGGAGAAGTCAATGGTTCAATCATCAACTTGTTACTCACGGTAATAATAAAATAAAAAATCTTATTTTTATCTTAAATTACTAATCTTTTTTGGACAGTAACTGAATTAGAGAATAAAGACTTATTATTAAGGTCTTGTTTGATATGAGCTGAAAGTTTGTATTGTTTATTCACTTATTGTGTCATTGTTTATTAATATTTAATACTACCTTATCTTAATCATTTTCAAATCGGAAATTACTGTGGCAGATTAGGATGTGTGATGCAATATTTTAGGTCAGGATCACGTTCTACACGTAGTGAATGAGTGGTCAAAGACAATACGCATTTCAATATGAGAAGGCTCCACAAATTTTCTTCTAAAAAGAATAAGAGTATTAATAGGCGCAAAATAAGCCCTGAATCAGGGATTGAGTACTTTTTAATAAGGACGCCCGAAGAAAAGAAAGCTTTATGCTTTATAGAATAATATATACTAAGTTGAAGTATATATTTTTAGTTTTACAACTTTATACAATATTTTAATTTGATCCCTGCGTAACTTTAAAAGATACATTTTCAGTCATTTACCTTTAAAACCGTTAACCAAAAGAAAAAAGACATAATACTAAGATCTTGAATGTTAATAAAAGTTTCTCAAATACTAATATATTAAATTTAACTTTAAAAACAATCATGACTGTTATAAAAAAATCATCATCTGATGATTTTAGAATTAAAAGACTAAAAATATACTTTTCAAATTAAAAGATTAAATCAAAGCTTTGTATAAAATTAAAAAGACTAAATGAACACTCTAACTGTAAACTATTATAAGCATGGCTAATTACGGAGAAGTCAATGGTTTCAGTTAGCATCGGCTATTACCGTGTAAGTGAAGGTAATTTACTAATTTGATCGAATGAGATTTTTCTTTTTGGCCAGAATGCAATGAGATTGTTGAACGCATCAAACTATGAATATTCCATATTTCTCATTAATTTACAACGAACTTGAAAATTTTTTTCCCTCAAATTACAAATTTGAAGTGGACATTATAGTCGCTGTGTAATGACGGTGAGATATGGGCCTAATGAGAGAGGAAAGATTACGCCATCAGATATTTATTTTAAGCACCATAACGATTGCATTGCCAAAGTCACTATAAATTCAAAGGTTCAAGATGACCATTATATCGATTCACATTTTATACACGTCATGAATATTTTCAAATTTTATGTAATGTACGATGAAACATGCACAAATGATGTGTATGTAAAGGGCAAGCGGGTTGAGAGAGGAAGTATTTATTGAATTGGAGTTTGATACAGTAGTTTAAGGATTAGTGGTTGCACTAGAGTGAATTCAATCATGATTAAAATAATATAATTTAATTAAAATATGCAAAAATATTTATATACTACTCTAGAAAGAATATTATTTAAATATAAAGATATTAATCCAAAAATAAATAAAACAATTATGTACAAGTCACATGTAATCCAACCAACAACATAGAATTACTAAAGTAAAAATATGTCATATTGCTATTTTAATTTTAAAAAAAAACTCAAAAGGATGTTGTTTTTACCACAACAAAAGGTGAAAAATTATAAAACCCAACCAGATCAACTAGTCCAAAACTCTTGATTGGAGCAGCTGGGGACTAAATCATGAGTTGCTATTTTTTTCCTTTTTCTTTTTCAAACTAAAAATGATCTCATTTTAGGCTCAATTAGCGGGGAAAAATATAAAATTTAACTCAATCAACCTATTCAAAACTTTTGATCGGACTAATCCGAGAATAATTAGTTGATTCATTGGTCTGACTCGCTAACCTGAGTTGAGTTTTCGTATCATATTTTTTCAGGTATGAAGTAAGAAAAGTTGTCTTATAAAAAGGAAGCAAATGAGTATGTATATGTATGTATAAATTTGGGGATTTATCAAAATCATAGACTTGTAAATCTCATTAAGATCGAACATATTATTCATTACACACTGGCATATATGGGCCCTTAATTAGTTGACAGATTATAAGCTCAAATACATAACCCAACCACAAACACAACACTTCATAACCTAGCTATTAGCTAGTAAGGTTTTTGTCCTTCATAGTTGCCTGGAGGATCATAGTTGCAGCCAATGAAAGTGCCTCCATTGTCACACCTCACTTTAGCACAACCAACATGAATGGAATTCTTCCACACCACCTGAGTATAATGCCCACACTGCCCAGAAACGCACGAGTTGCTATTGTAGTCATAATTTGCCTTCTCGTCCACCCACATCTTCACAGCGTCTGTGCCGGTCATGTCACTGGAGCTCCAAGCGATGTTCTCCCCGTATTGGCCACCGGAGTGGACCAGTTGGCAATCAGCCTTGCGTTGGCTAGCGTAGTTCTGTGCATAAGCAGCCACAGTATCATCCCAAGCTATGTCTGGAACACCCACTTGCGATCTTGCTGCGTTGTGGGCATTCACATAGTCTTGTTGTGTGTCCTGAGCATAGGCCATGATGGCAAAGAGAAAGAAGAAGAAGAAGGAAAATGGAAGATTGGACGATAACCCCATTGTGTGTAGTTGTGTGATGTCTTTTATGAAGAAAAATGGGAGGCCTTGAGGAGGAATTTATAGGGATTTTCGTGTGGAAAATTAGTAGCGTTCTGTTCATGTAATTGGAGAGAGAAAGAGACTGGTACATCTGTCTAAATTGTATAGGCTGGATGGTTTGGAAGAATCCTACTAAGTCGTAAAATATGAAAAGAATATCACACAAGAGATGTTAATCTCAGAGGACTCTTTTGAATGTGAATGGCGATGGGAATTTTCTATGAAACCCGAGTATTAAATATCTGCAAGTAAGTTTTGGCAATTTATTACTCTGATCTTGCAATAGGGTTTGATAATTTTGGTGTTTCATAGAAATTTTTCCCCCTTTGAAAGGGTCTTTTGAAATTTACAACTTCGTGTTATTAGATATTTAGAACAACAAGCTGGTTATTTATTATTGTTTTGAATTAATATCTTTGGAATTTTGCGCAAAAAAGAAGGATTGAAGAACAAGGAAGTTCCTTAAAAATGAATCGAGAAATAACATTATACATAATGAATTTGCTCCAAAAAAAAAGTATACACATTATCATTCAGGGCAAATAGCTAGCAAACGCACAGTTACAACGATTTAATTTCATTGAGTTTAAGGAAAAAATTGGATTTTGGCGCGAGGAAAGAATAAAAATTGGTGTGAATTAATTCACATTTATTTATATTTTTTATTAATTTTTGTACTCACTATATATATGACGTTATCGGGTAGTTAACAATAGGAAAAAAAAAAAATAGCTTGGACCGCTTAAACATGAGATTTCGAATTCGAATCCGAATGCAAAAAATATTTTTGAGGCCTAATATTTTAACCTGAGTACTAATTCGCGATGTATGTAGTCATATCAAAAAGGAAACAAATACTATCAAACAGTTCAAATTTAAGTATTATGATTGTAACTATAAATGCCCAGATACATGGAATCTCACTTCAATTATAATTAGTTAATTATCATGCCAAATTAGGGGAAAAAAATAGTTATTAGAATTACATGTTTTTCACGTTCATATGCCCTATACAATGCGTTTGGCTGAAGAATGAAAAAGTCTACGACGGCACCACGTGATGCTTGAAGCTTTTTAGAAGCCGCGCACTTGGGTGGCCAGTGAAACCCTTTTGCTTTTGCAGGGCCAGGAAATTATTTGGTTCTCTCCAAACACGATACCTCTGTCGTTAAAGCACTCAATTAAACTAGGCCCTAATTAATTTGTAGTTTAGGATCGACCTAAGTCATTACTTCTAAGAAGTAAGTTATTGGTTTCTTTAGGTAAAAATTTAGGTGATGAAAAATGTAATAAAATGGACCTAAACTAAAATGTAAAATTCTAATTCTAAATGCAAGATGTAAATGTCTTAAAATCTATATGAAAATTAAAATGCAATGCAATTTGGGGGGGGTTTAGAAGGAAAATAAAATTAATGAATAAAGAAAATTAATCAGAAAGCAAAGAGAATTAGCAAGTAAAATTTCAGAAATTTCTCTTTAGGTACGGTAGAGGGGACAACTTAGGATTCGTATAAATTTAACCTTCATAATCTTAATCAGTTAATTAGACCAAAGGGAGGTGATAAGAGAGTGGAATTAATAAACTTAATTACCTACTTGAAATAAAAGGAACCCTCAACTTCAAAAACCCTTAAACTATTAGAGAACTCATAAAAGTGTAAGGTTGGTTAATTAAGCTTATTAAAACCAATGAAAATAATTCAAATTAATTTTGGAAATTATGTTTGAAATTATCTAATTAAACAATCAGATAATTAATCAACTTAATTAAACAATTAAGAGGCAAAAGAACCCAAATTTTGCAATTCAAACCACATTGATAATTAAACTCATAATGAAAACTCAATTATAAATTCAATTAACAATGCAAAGGTTCTAAACATAAATTCCATCAAGTGTCTCAATACAAACAAAATCCAAATATCAATCCAATCCAAGGATAAAAAAATAACAATCTAGAACTAAATTGTCTCACAAAAATATAACTCAAAATTATTTAAAACTAAATAATCTCAAGTCCTTGAATTAAAAAGATAAATGGAACATCACTCCCTTATGGTCTTCAAGTGTTAACCCAAGACTCAAGTCTCCTCCATGCTCCTCCCAAGTTGCCTCCCTATAAGCTTAAGGTTCCATCAAATTGTCTCCTCTTCCAAGGTTGTTAGATGCCATAGCCATGAATTGATTGAAGGTGATGGTGAGAAGTTGTGCGTGTAGTGAGAAAAAATGAATGGATGATGATGAGAGGTGATGATGATTGTTGGGTGGATATGAAATGAAAAAAAAAAAAGAAATGGGAAAGGGCGTGAGGCTAGAGGAGTAGCGGTGAAGGGGGAAGATTTGACGTTGGGTTGATGATGGTGTGAATGGAGATGGAAAGAGAGTGATATTTAGGCGTGCCTCCCTCTTCCAAAAATAAGGAAAATAGTATAATGAGGGAAAAGGAAATTTTTGTGGATCCAAAGCTCAAGCCCATTAGTAATTAATTAACCCACTTGATATTAACCATTGGATTGTGTTTAGATTCCAAGAAACAATCTTACACCATTGGATTTCCTATGTGCCCCTTTCTTGACCTACAAGAATTTAAGTGCATCCATTAATGTAGATTATATCCAAATATAATAAAAAATTAAATATTAAATCTGCACAAAAATTAGGTAAGAAAGTGCAAAACTTTCTAAAAATAATCTTTCTAAAAATATGAGACTTGTTTTCAAAGAAATAGGAAAAATTAATTCCAAGTCAAAAATAGGAAATCAGAAAATATTTATATTTTTAATCCAAAATCTCAATTTTTATGCAAAATCCAAAAATCAACCAATTAATCTAATAACGCATAAAAATCCAATTAAGCTCAAAATTATCATTTAAATCCTAAATTAATGTAGGATAAAATGTATAAAAATTGGGCTTTATCATGCCTTATAATTAGTAGGGATAATTAATTTAAAAGTCCTTATAGTTTCAACTAATTTTGAATCAGGTCCCTATAATTTTTTTTCTTTTTATTAGGTCCTTATACTTTTACCTGTTTTTAATTAAGTCCTTGCATTTATTTTTCTTTTATCAAGTCCTTATAAGTTCACCTTATTTTTAATTAAGTCCTTAAATTTTTATTCTTTATTTTATAAATTCTAATAGTACTATTCTATAAACATAAAATAGTATTTATTATTTAATATTAGTTTATAAACAATAATATTCTAAAAATAATAAATTATTATAATAATTTTTTTGCAAAAAAAATTAATTGTTCTAAAAAATTTTCTAAATTAATTAATTATATTACTTATCTTTTATTATATAATTGTTAATTTAATTTAATTATTAATATTTTATTTCAGTATTAATTTATTTAATTAAGTTATATTTAATTAATAAATAAAAATTAAAACTAGATGGACCTGATTAAAAATTTAGTAAAATTATAAGGACTTAATAAAAAGAAAAATAAATGCAAGGACTTAATTAAAAACAAATGAAAGTATAAGGACCTGATAAAAAGAAAAAAAACTATAAGGATCTAATTCAAAATTAGTTGAAATTACAAGGACTTACAGATTAATTAACCCTAATTAGTATTACTTCCAATCCTTAATATAAGAGTTAAATAATTAATTTAAAAATATTAAAAAACACTAGTTAAGTCAGTTATTTTCACAAACATATGTTGGTCTCTTTAAACTATCATTTATGATCATGTGCATTGAATGCTCGTAATTATTTCTTGGTGGGAATTCTTTACAATCAATGGAAGTATTTTGGGGAAAAAATAAAGGACAAAGTGAATTGAAGTCTTATATTACTTTCATTCTTTAATATAAAAGATCATTTGACTTTTTTTTTGTCCTAAATATAAGATTTTGATCCGTTTTGTCTCTCATATTTATCCTTTTTTTTAAGATAGTCCTTGTAACAATGGTACTTCTAGCCAATATAATTGATTAACAAAGATATTTTAGGGGGAAAAAACAACAAAATAAACTAATTTTTTTAAGCTACTCCAATTAGTCAACTAACTCTTGTATTAAGAACAGGAGGTAGTGTTAAGAACTGGACTACTGGTCACTATTTGAAAGTTTGGAGTCATTTCACATAATTAAAGTTATTATTTTAAAGTGATGTCAATTTTGATCTCCTCCAAAGTCACTACTAAAACTTTGTTTCGTATAATTAAACTTGTTATTTTTCTAAAACGAAATATTTATGAATATCCAAGTCATCACTAATACTTAAAATTTTAGAATGATAATTGTCATTGCTTAAAATTTTGTCGTCATTTCCAATAATTAAAATTGTTATTTTGATTTCTAGGTCACCCCCTTTACAATAATTCTTTGATCCGGTCGCCGTTGAAGCCTTGATCACTTGCAATGGTTGTTTATATTTTATTTATTATATGGTATCTTGAATATTTGAAATTATACCTAGACATTCCAGATGTTCAGTTGTCTTAATTTAAATAAAATATACTGAGCGTGGCTCACTAGTTAGTTTTAACTGTATTGAGCCTAGCTTTAGGGTTTGATTCAGTCTAATTTAAGTTATTTTTTAAGCTAAAATAACATTGACGAAAGGTTATTAAATACCAACAGACTGAGTTAGGGTGGGACTTGGATTTTCTCCACTACCTTCCCATTTTCTTCCCCTCTGCTATTTTTCTTTTCTCTTCATAACCATTAGATCAAAATTTCAATGATCCAGATTTAACATCTTATAAAAATAATGTTATTAAATAAATAAATAAATTTAAACTGTTAAATTCTAGTCTGAACAGCTCACAATTGTAATAAAAAAATTTAAAAAAATTTGTTCTATAATAACAGTCTGTAGTTATGAACCGTTCAGATTAGATTTTAACAGTTTAAATTTTTTTTATCATAATATTTATTTTTATAAAATGTTATAAAATATTAAATCTGAACCATTGGAGTTTTGATCCAATAGTTATGAAGAAAAAAAGAGGGTGGTGGA